GATTAAAACGGTTGAGAATTGTTTTAAGCCCATTCAAATACATTAAAAGTAGTTTATTCATCAAATGAGAATACACTCCCCACTCATCAAGATATCTCACATTCATGTAGGACTTTACAATTCTGAAGGTTTTCTTTATGGTGACTCTATGAAGTGTCACTAATATGATCCGTTGTATCCCCATTAAGAGGCAGGAGGAAAGAAGAGAAAGGAAAGAAGGAAGGAAGGAAGGAAGGAAGGAAGGAAGGAAGGAAGGAAGGAAGGAAGGAAGGAAGGAAGGAAGGAAGGAAGGAAGGAAGGAAGGAAGGAAGGAAGGAAAGAAGGAAGGAAGGAAGTTAGTTTAAGCCTAGAGATCACCCTGGCTATTAAGCTATGAGGTCCTTTGCTCTGATTCTACACATACATACATACACACACACACACACACACACACACACACACACACACACACGCGCACACACACACCCCTCCAAATTTGTCTGACTGGTTTTTTTTTACTCTGGTTATGTGTAGTCACATAAATACTTCACAGAAGCAGGGTAGCAACTAGAAAGGGTATCAGGAAAATCGAAAAACCTTACATATTAACAGTGATGGGCTCTAACATGAAAGTCATGTATTGACTCCTAAAATTACCTCGAAATAAAATTATTTTGCTTGGGATATGAAGGAAGTTAAGAGAAATGATAAGGCATCCTGCCCTTTGTTATGTGGCTTCCGGTCAACATTTAGTATGAAGAAGGTCATCAGTATAGTCTTTCATCATCAGCTTCATTGGCCAGATTATTACAGTTAAAGGACTGGATTAGCTTGGGAGTGGGGGTGGGGAGAATGATTGCTTTGTTTAAAAAATAATCAATGAGAACCTACTTTAAATTTTCTTTATTACAGACCAAAGATATAGCAGTACTTTCCATTGCCACCTCAGTGACTTTTATGTCTATATAGCTCCTTACAGAAGTAAAATTCCCTTCTCTTCAAAAACCGAAACCATACATGTTAGACACAAATAAAATAAAACATAGTTCTGGCAGTTGATGTGAACAGGCATCTGTAACACAAAATCATGTTGGGTTTCCATGTGTGTTTGATCCAGAATTTCACTGGATCGTAATATTCTGTTCACCTAGTAGCAGCACAGTGGAAAGTCTTTTCTAGAGCACAAGAGTTCACGTGACTCCCCCCCCCCCCATATTCTTTATCCTTTTTGAAGTGCCAAAAGCAGCCCAAGATGTGGTCAGTGAAAGATATCCCCTATTTTAACACATCTAGGGAAAATGATAGAGCTGTTTTAAATGAGAAAAATGACCAAACCTGATAAACTCAGGCATTGCTTTGATGCTTTGACACACTATTGTGGCCTCAAAGACTTAACTCTAGATTTTTTTGATGGTCAGTTATCATTTGCGGCTTTTTGTGTCTGTCACCAAAATGTTCATTTCTCCATAGGTCTTTTTCTTTTGTATTAATAAGAAGCCATTGTGCGGTTAAAATGACAAGTCATCTGTGGAGTTAGAAAGTGGATGTTCTGCATTGCTCGCCCGGGAGCTCAAAATGAAGTTTAAAAATGTCTCAACAGGATTAACAGAAAAGAGTAAACTCTCACTTTCTCTTCCCCATTTGCCGGTTCAGTTGACAGTCATTTAAATCCAAAAGGTTATAAGTAAAGACTGAAAGGATTGAAATACTAGTTGGTATTGAGACCCTGTGTCTTCTGAAGCTCAAGGAAGAGGAAGCTTGAGTAAATCCCAATCCATCCCAAGTCCCCTAATAGAAATCCCATCCACAAAGCCCAATGGGCAACTTCCTCCTAGATTTCAGCTCACTCTGCCCTGATGATTCATTTCCTGATTGACACTGACATTTTAATGTCCAAGGTCATCATGGGGAGGGGACTGTGTCAGCTGTAGTTAACCTAACTATTGGAACCACTCCCCTATGATCACCCAGGGACCAGCAAAAAGACTTGAACTTGGGACTTAACAGGAATTCTGTGTCCCTGAGATCTTTTTGACTTTAACTGATGAGAAATCTGCTGGGTAGCTATTGCCACTGGCCACAAGGTAACCCATATCTGAGCACTTGTATCAAATAAAACTGTTAGTTTTCCTTAAGAGAAAACCCCAAAGCATTTTCACCTGGTAGGCATGGTTTACATTGTAGCAGTGTGGTTGTATTACTGAGAAAGCAACTTTGTTACAATATGTTCAGTTTTAAAGGGGGGAGGGTTGGGCCATGTCAAGAAGAATGTTAGGTAGACTTTTTTTTTTTAATTCTGCAAATTGACTAGGTCTATACTAGGTTATTTAATTTGGTCGTTTGTTGTGCTCAAGTGAAATAAATTGGGTGGTTGCCATCACCAGTCAGTGGGTGAGCTTTCGTCATGAAAAGCAGAAAGCAGAGTGGCATCTGTCCACTGTGCTGGGTCATAGTCTTGTAGCTGGCAGGGAGTGTTACAGGTCAGATAAGGGGTCAAGGACAGAGTTGGAGGGGAATGGTAAAACAGGGTGGGAGCGGATTCAAAATTCCCATGTTGTCTTAGCTATGGAAAATTGTTAACAGGTCTTTCACATGCTCGGAAACTAAACAGATTCCTCCTGTAATCCTCACCAATGGTAAAGAGGAAAAGGACAGGAGGAGAAAATATGACGTTCATTACCAATGGACATCCAAACAGTCACTTTTACATATATTTGATTCTATTTAATTTATTAATTTAATTTATCTTTTACATATATTTAAATCACTAATACTTTTGTCCATTTTTAAATGAAGCACTACAAAAGGGAAGATTGTTTTAGACTCAGTGTGGGAAAGGGACATGCTTTGGAGTAAACAGTTACCTCAAGAAAAGGTTTTCTATCACAGAAGAAATAAAGCCAAAGAGTTCCCTGACTGTGCCCACCAAAGACCAGGAGAAAAAAAAAGAGGATTCTGTAGTCTCAATCAAGCCTGCAGTGGGGATAGAAGATGGGAAGTGGGCCGTGGGGGAACCGGCCTAGAATGTTACAGCACCTAGTTAATCGGCAGCCAATCCATCACATTAAATATCCAGCAGTCATGTATTACCTTTCAAGTGAAAATGAATAACTCCCATTAAGAGCGAAATGGGTTTGAAGTCGATTCGAGACAGATTAAAGTACTGTTATGAATGTGTGTGTTGGGAGGAGGAGGGGTCTGTATGTAATATGCTTGTCTTTGTAGTTTTTAAATAATAGATGCCTTGCAAACTTATGTAGACCAGGTTACCAAGACACTGGGGTTAAAGGTCACAAGATGTGCATTCTGGGAAGAGCATCAACTTCCTGGAATATTTCCTGCATTTAACATTTTTTAAAAATATATTTTGTGGCCTTATGGTTTTAATGAATAAAATTGATTTTCTAAAACTGTTTATTAAAGTACATGTACATAAAGACAGTATCTTTGTGTCCATGTCAAAACAAATCCCAGAGCTAAGCGTAAAGTAGAAAAATTTTCGAGATAGTTAAGCAGAATAAGACTAAGCATGGTTGTGCCAAGGAGCAGAAATTAGCTTTTTCTCACTGTATGACCCAAGTGCCAGATCACATGAAGATACAGTGAGGTCTATGGTCTCCAAAAAGAATTCTTCTCTTCTCTTCTCTTCTCTTCTCCTCTCCTCTCCTCTCTGCTCCTCTCTTCTCCGCTCCTTTCCTCTCCTCCCTGCTCCTCTCCTCTCCTCCCTGCTCCTCTCCTACCATTGCCATATAGCCAATGCCATTAGTTACAGCAAAAGTCTAAAACCTTTAGCTATCTTGCACAGAAGATTTGTGGTATGAGTTACCAAAAAGCCAACTTTTAGGGACTCCCTATGGCCAATCACACCCACCCATTCAACTTACTGTCTTGGAGTTTGCACCATGCTATGGTAGAGAAGTGGTACTGCTATGAGTAAATAATTAATTTTGCTAATTTCATGTCAAAGAAACTTCCCAGAGCAAGACTCACTCCTCTAGTATTTCCGTGTTGTTGTTTTCCACCACCTAGATTTCAGATGGTTCTCTCTCACATTAAGAATGACTGAAGAAATAGATGGGTGGATATGGTCAGCAGGGTAGAGATGCTTTTCCTCAGAGCTAGCTTTCAAGTGAGTTTTTCCCTAGAGCGTCTACTAGAATGTGATCCAGAATATTCCTGTTAGCTGAGAACAAAACTTTCTAGTGCAGACACACTAATGTTAATGCCTTTCCTCTGAGACTACCCCACCCTACCCCTCAATTCATCTTGTCGATATCTTGCTTTGTTTGTGTGTTTGTTTGTGTGTTGTCTCCTCCATTAGAGTGGGAGCTCCTTCAGGGCAGGGACTGTCTTTTGCCTTTTTTTGTATCCCGAGTGTTAGTATAGTGCCTATCTTGTAGTAGGCATTTAATAAACTTGTTAATTTGACTTTCTCTAGAGCGCCACTTCTTTTAATGTAGTGCAGAGCTTTGGGGGCCAAAAGATGGAGGCTAATCCCTGTGGGTGAGTGAACCTAATGAATCTTAATGCTGGTGGTAATCACAAAGAGCCACCTGCCCTCTCAATATACTTATTAGTGATAATAATAGTAACAACAGCGTTTATGTAGCATTTTAAGATTTGCAAAGTGCTTTGCAAATCTTCCCTCATTTGATTTTACACACACACACACACACACACACACACACATTCACACTTCCCAAGCAAGAGCTTAGCTCCTGATCTGGGGAGTCCAGGCGGGGTTGTGTGTTTTTAGCTCAGAGCCACCCAAATCCCCTTCCAAGACTTTTTATCCCAGCGCCTTACCTTTTCCTTTCCTAGTCTTTAAAGCACTAGCTGAGAGTGAGAAGAAAGTCACTTCCTTTCCAACATGTTTACCAGCTTGGATGCTCATCCTCCTGGAATCTTGGTTTTTCAAGAAATCCTGTGCTATAAATGGATATTGGTTTTCACCCAGCAGCAACCCCATTGCAGCTTGCCCGCCACAGATATCATAATGTAGATTCCATTTTCTCTTGTAGCATCGTCCAGCCAAGCTGAGAAGGAGCTCCCAGACTGTCCTGCAGCCTCCAAACGTGCATCCTTCCCGAGTAGCTCGGAGCCCCCCCTCTCTTCCAAGCGACCCAAAACATCAGAGGAGGCTAGATCAGAGCAGGTGAGGCACGTGGCTCAGCCCAGTTTGGGAGGCAGGGGCCCTGGCAGCTGATCTCAGCGGCGCCGATGGGAAGAGGGGCGGGGAGGAGAGCCCGGTGCTGGTGGGCATCTATCTCTCTCTCCCTTCTCGCACAGATGTTCCAGTGTCCATACTGTAAGTACAGTAACACCGATGTGAACAGGCTTCGGGTGCACGCCATGACCCAGCACTCGGTGCAGCCCATGCTGCGCTGCCCGCTCTGCCAGGACATGCTGAACAACAAGATTCACCTGCAGCTGCACCTCACCCACCTGCACAGCGTGGCTCCGGACTGTGTCGAAAAGCTCATCATGACGGTAGGTCAAGGCGCCCATCCCTTGCTTCCCTGAGAGCTGCTGTGGGGAGAACCAGCAGAGAAAATCCACTAAATTCTGTAACAAAGCAGAACAAAAGCCTCTTTCACTTCCCCTGGGATGGAAGGGACTTAACCTTAGCACATCGTCGCCCCATTAGAGGTGAATTTGTATTTATTTATTAAATTCCCCTAAATCCTTTCCTCCTCTCAGGACATCTGGCTAACCGTGTTAGGACACATTATCTATAGGGCTCCTTAGATGCGCAGGGCAAGCCGAACTTGTCCGTTTTTCATCAATGCAGAGAATAGCGAACTGCATACGAGGAGCCAATTTGCCACCCCGCAGTTTGCGCTTACTCAGATTCTTGGGGAGCATTGCTAAAAGTTATCACTTCAGTTCTGACCTGAAATGCTAGAGGATCCCAAAAATCTGAGTTCAGAAGGACTCCAGAGACAGTCTAGGCCAATCAGTACCTGAACAAGAATCCTATCTACCTCACATCCAACAAGTTGGCCCTCTAAGCCTCTGCTTGAAGACCTTGAGTGAGGAGGGAGCCTGTCATCCCCCAAGGCTACTCATTCTATTTTTAGATGGCTCGAATTGTTGGGAAGTTCCCCCTTTCCTCAATCCTCCATATTTGCCTTTTTGAGACTTTTACTCATCATTCCTAATTTGGTTTCATTGGGCTGATCTCCCAACAGGCCATTGGATTTGGCATTTAAGAGATCAGTGCTAACTTTGGAGACCGCAGTTTTAGTGGGATGATGAAGCTACAAGACAATATGCAGAGAGCTAAGAATTAAGTGAGAGGAGGTGAAATAGATGCACTGACTGTAGATGGCTTTCTCAAAGCATTTAGCCATGAAAGGAAGGAGAGCATAACTCTCCCAGTCCTTCTTCTCTTACAGATACGTGAAGACAGCAGTCATTTCCTATTTTAATGGTTCGGGTCACTTATTAAGTTGAAAACTGTTCAAATATAATGCAGATAATGCCTGATGAGTTTTCTCAGCCAGGTAGCGGGGGGCTGCTGTCATAAATACCTCTTGAGACATCTGCTATAAAAACACCAAATGGGATAAATCATCCGCAGTTAATCTGTAAGCAGTGCGATGCTAGAAAGTTGTCAGCCACTTCTCTTAAGACGTGGCTGTGGTGACATAGGTTGTCTAAAAGTCGACATTGCGATGTGAAAGTTGCACAAATATAATTTGCAGGTATCCCCGGTCTGTTATTTTTCTTGCTAAATTATTGCATTTATTTGCTATTCCCATTATGAGTACTGCTTGTTGAAGTTACTTTGGTAGATGATCAGTGAGAAGCTCTCACAAGCAACACACAGTCCTCTTAAAGATATGTGGAGGAAAATTTAATGCCAGTTTTTTCATTAATATTTTTAAACGGCAATTTTCACATGAACTTGTGGAAGTCATTGAAAAGTTGTCTCTAAGAGGAAGAGTAGATGGTTGCAAATATGATAATGGAACCCAAAATTTTCACCAACCTTTTCACTTAGCAGCCTCTTTACAAGGAGGCATCTGATGATTGGAGAGCTTTGGCAGCCAGCAGAGGAACAGAAATGTTTTCAGTCCTTGTTCAAGTTTGTGCTTATAGTGTGATTATATTATTGGTCTAATTTCATTTAAGCCTTGGAACTTTGGGCCTCTTAAAGATATACTTTGCATGTCTGATTTAGAATAGAAAATAAAGCGCATCCTTTTTTCTAAAAGATGGAGAGGGAAAGGTGCAAATAGGAAAGTAAATGTGAAGCATAGGATATCAATAAATTAACTAATAACTAACATGTATTTCATGCTCTAAGCCTTGAAAAGCCCTTGAATTATATTGTCTAATTTATGATCATACTAATAAAACATATTTCATGTTAAAGGCAGATTCTTTTTCATGTACTCTTGATCCCGTTCAGGAGATTGCCCTCTTTGTGATCTCCATTCTCTCACTAATCTTTAATCTCTCTCTGTTTACTGACTGCTTCCCTGCTGCCTACAAACGTACACTCATGTCTCTCCCATCTTTAAAAACCCCTCCCCAACCCTGCTAGATGTCTGGCTATGGCTCTCTTTCTTTTCATGGCTAAACACTCTGAGAAAGCCATCTACAATCAGTGCGTCTATTTTACCTCCTCTCACTTAATTCTTAGCTCTCTGCAGTCTGTCTTGCAGCTTCATCATCCTGCTAAAACTGCTCTCTCCAAAGTTACCACTGATCTCTTAAATGCCAAATCCAATGGCCTTTTCCCTGTCCTCATCCTTCTTGACCCTGTCCGCGGCCTTTGATACTATCAGTCACGTTGTTCTTTTGGTTACTCATTGCTTTCGCTTTCCATGACACTGCTGTCTCCGAGTTGCCCTCCTGACTATAGGACCATTACTTCTCATTCTCTTTTGATGACTTATCATCCAGGTTGTGTCCACTCACCATGAGTGTCCCCCAAGTTGGCAGGGGGAGACTGAGCCCTCTTCTCATGTGTGGATCTCATCATCCCCCATGGGTTCAATGATCATTTCTGTGCTGATGATTTCAAGAGCCACATGACCATCCTTAACCCTTTCCTGAGCTCCAGTCTCATCACATCAGCCACCTTTGAGACATCTCATATTGGGCGTCCCGTGAGCATTTCAAATTCACCATATCCAAAACAAAATTCATTATCTTTCTCCAAAAAGTCTGCCCTCTTTTGAATGTTCCAATTATCACCAAAGGTACCACCATCCTCCTGGTCACCTGGGTTCACGGTCTATGAGTCCTTGACTCCTCAGTCTCACTCGCCATCCCATATCCAACCTGTTGCCAAACCTTTTATCTGTCTCTACAGCATCTCTTGAATCCACCCCTTTCTGTCCTCTGACGCTGCCCCCCTCCTGGTGCAGGCTTCATCCCTTCACACCTCGACTATTACAATAGCTTCTTAGTCAACTCCATCCTCCAGTTGCCAGAGTGATCTTCCCAAAGCACAGGCTTGCCCATGTCATCCCTCTACCACCTACAGTGGATCCTGGCTACCTGCAGGATCAAATGTAAAGTCCTCCCTTTAAAACCAAGGCACACAATGCCCTGGCTCACATGCCCACCTCACCTAGAATCCTCTCCCTCCTCAGCTCCACTTGCTAATATCTCTGACTTCCTTCAAGATTCAGCTCAAGTCCTGCCTTGTGCATGAAGTCTTTCCTGGTCTGTACCCCTCCCTCCCACATATCGTTTTGTTGTTATTGTTCACCCTTCAGGTCCAACTATTCTTGACCCCATTTGGGGTTTTCTTGGCAAAGACACTGGAGTGGTTTGCCGTTTCCTTCTCCAGATGAGGAAACTGAGGCAGACAGGGTTGAGTGACTTGCCCAGGATCACACAGCTAGAATGGATTTGGACCCAGTTCTTCCTGACTCCATTAACCATGCCCCCATAATACCTTCCCTCTAAGACTATCTCCCACTTACACTGTATATATGTTATATGTGTATGATGATTTCCATGTTGTCTGCCCTCTTAGAATGAGAGATCCTTGAGGCAGGGCCCATGTTTTCACTCATCTTTGAATCCCTAGCACAAAACGCAGTGCCTGGCATATAACAGATACTTGGTAATCGACTAGGGTAAGGTGATGATTAAGAACTTTGCTGAGAATCTTCTCAATTAGATGATGATTACAGCTCTCTGTTTGTTGTTACCTGGGACATCTCCCTGGAAGGCATCTCTAAAGGTGCAGCAGCAGTCATTTGTGATACCATTCTGATGAAGTTAGTAGGACCATCCCTCTTCTCTGTTAATAAGCAGAACTTTGGAGGAGGCAATGAAATTAGTTGGGGGGATTTGTATGGATGTTTGTGGGAGAATGTTATCTCAAAATAAAATAGATAAAATTTTAAAAGGTACCTTTAAATATTTACAAATATATCATAAATTTAATAAAAATATTTTATCTCATCTGTAATATTGCTACAGGATAGTTGTATATCACTAAAGGAGGTATTATATACTCAGCAGTAAGACTAGAAGTCTTTCTCGCTCCTTCTCTACATGTATATGTACATGTATGTATACACACACACACACACACACACACACACACACACACACAGAGTTAAGATGCCCGAGATAGTGGCCAGATCAATGGAGTCTATAGGATCATAGAACTGGAAGGAGACATTAGAGGTCTTTAGTCCAACCCCTTCATCCTACAGATAAGGAAACCGAGTCCAAGAGGACTTATGACTTGCCCAGGGTGTCCCAGAAGTAGTAAGGAGTACAGTTGGCATTTCAACTGAAGATATCACAAGTGCTTAATAAATGCTCACTGACTTGCCTCACTCAGGTCCTGTGCCTCCAAAGTTAGTGATTTTCCCCCTGAATTAATCTTCTAGCAAGAACATCATGGTGCTTTAAAAAAAAAGGCTTTTTGTTATTTTGACAACATGGGGATTGTCATTTGTATGTGGGTAGGATCGTGTCCAGAGGGGTCACTTTCTGTCATGATCTTATTAGACATTTAGCCATGAGAGTAAAATTATTGATTGATTAATGTCACTGTCAACCAAGTGAAGGAATCAGTGCCTGGCATCTGTTTATTTCAAGCCAACTGGAGCAGGAAACCATGAATACAGCATCCGGTGAGAAGTGCCATTCAGACAATGACTAAATTCTGTAGTCTAAAGAAATGTCAATGCAGCCCTTCATTCTAAAAGAAGTTATGTTTACTCTGTTTAAAAAAAAAAGATAATTGAATAGTAAGAGTTACAAAAGGAGCCAGCCTACTTAAAAGAGATGGTTTTCATGTGAAAAAGTCAAGTAGTTAAATCCATATGCCCAAATTCTGGACTCCTGTATCCTTTTCCTCTTTCCTTGTTTAGTCATTTTTCAATCGTGTGTGACTCCTTGTGACTCCATTTGGGGTTTTCTTGGCAAGGATAATAAAGTGATTTGCCATTTCCTTCTCCAGCTCATTTAGCAAACAGGGTTAAGTGACTTGCCCAGGGTCACACAAC